GCTGTAGGTCCACGCGGCACTGTAGCTGAGGTCGAGGCATTGGGAACGCATTCTATTCGAGGCAAGATCTGCAGTCAGCTGTACATGGCGTTAGGGCTAACTCAGTAAGTGCTGGAGGGCGGTTGGAGCGTGATAAAATATTATTGGTGTAGTCGCGAGGTGCGACATTGGACGACACGACGCACCGGCGGTGCACAGGGTAGGAATCAACGTGCGCCCTCGCCGGGGAGACGGAGAAGGCGGTGAGGCAGATGACCGACCGACTGGGGTAGCTATAGATGACGGTGATAATTGGAGACTAGTTGGACCGATAGACGCTCGGAGAAAGCAGATGAGACGCGAATGTTGTCCGAGACACAACACATTGCCCCGAGACACAACACATAGCCCTGAGACTCGAACAACCGGTGCCGGTGAATGACCGTCGTGGGACCGACTACCGGCCATAGTCGTGTCCTGCATCGCTCCACGTATCCATCCTGGCAACGACAGGGTTGCGCCTATCACGAGGAGGTCAGCTGCCTATGATCCGGTTCCTCATCCGGGGAGTCCCGGCCCGGCATGCCGAGCACGTGCGGGGCGAGGATTCCTCCACCTTCCCCTTGACTCTCCCATCCACCCCGTCGACTCTGTCTAGACAGACCCATATCCCCAACGGCGGTCCATCGAACACTGACCCCGTCCAGTGGAATATTTTGAGGCCGGAATACTAATAGGCACAGAACCACCAGATCTCGTAATTTAACAGGGAATTCTCGTCGGCGATTGCGATATCCAGTCAGGGATAAACCATTTCAATATCCTCGACAAGGGCTATCATATCCATGTCAATGGCACTCCTACAGCTTGCACCGGAAGCCAGAGACGCAGATGCCGGTGCCTTGCAATTGTGGCGGGGTGCGTGCTTCTCCTCTATTTTTTTGTTTATGACATTTATGCTAATGTGGTTTCACAGTATTCGATAAGAGCGCGTCCTCCATCCAGGACGGCACCCGTCTCGCAAATATTGCCTGGCGCCTCACTTATCGGGATCTACCACAACATCCGCATCCACCTCCGCAACCTCAATCCCACAAACCTCCTTCCCAGGTAAAGCCAGCGAAACCGGGTTCTCTAATGGGCTGGCCCCCGACCCCCGAGTCCGGAAACTCCACCGCCACCTCCACCTCCTCCGCCTCGGCATCCTCGTGGCCAGAAGATAGGGTAAAGGAGAAGCGCCTCGCAGCCCTCATAATCTGCGACCTTATCCCCCCGGGCCTGAGCTCCAGCCTCTCCGAACTTCGAGGCGCCGCAAACAAGGGGTACCCGACCCCGGACTCGTCCACCTCTTCGGATGGGGACGAGCCTACCATCTCTGTGTCTCCTTCGCTGAAAAGAGAGCAAAAGGCAAGAATTGGCGTTCCCCGCGTCGTCGTCCTCACACCGACGCCGAGCCTCACGCCACACCCCACGCCCCCGGCGACGCCGCTGTTGGCGGGTGTCCCTGGCCCGGGGCTCACGTCGAGCCCGAGTCTCTCACAGAGTCCAGTTACGGCGATGGAGCTAAGTCCGACTCCTTCGATGCTGGGTCCACATCCCCCGGCTACACCGCCATCCCGACAACAGGAGCAACAGCACCAAGCGCGCCCACCGCCCCTGCCCCTCCCCCAGCTCCTCCCGCGATCGGCCACGCGCGGGATGGGCTCGCCTATGTTCCTCCCGCCTGCACCCCATACGTCTAATCTGGTGACCTCGGCGCTGCCGAGCGGCCTCGGACAGACCCCGCCCGAGACGCAGACGCAAAGCGCGTATGCGCCGCAGTCGACGCACCTCCTCCCCCTCGGTGGGCGGCCCTCTCTGGCGATGTCGTCGCCCGTGCGCCCAAGGGCGGAGGGGCAGGCACGGGGCAAGTTCTACTTACACGCTGGTGCGCATTCGGCGTCGAGACGGTCGAGCCACACGACGTCGCGCTCGTCGCACTCGACGTCGAGTCGGTCGGAGGAGAACGAGGAGGAGGGCGAGGGCAGGCGCGAGGGGTCTAGTAGCGAGAGCAGTAGGGAGCGGGATGGGAGTGGCGGCGCGAGGGGACGGGGGGTGAGGCGGGGGAGGGTTGCGCAGACGCAGCAAGTTGTGCCTGCGCAGGCAGAGGCGCAGCCGCATTATTCGACGGAGGCGGTGATGCAGGTGGCGCAGGGCCTCCTGACGGCCTCGCCAACGCCGATCTCGTATAGTGGCCCGCAAGCGCAGGAGGCGCCCGCGCAGCAGCGGCAGATGCAAAGACAGGCGGAGGAGCCGGGTGGCGTCGTGCCGCAGGAGGACATTAAGAAAGAGAAGGAGAAAGAGAAGGAGGAGAAGCTGAAGCGCACGGCGAGCGCGCCGTTTTTGGGCGGGTTGGAGGTGGGTGTCTTTTTGGGTTGCGAGGTTGTTGGGCTATTTGCTGACCGACATTAGATGACGCCCGCCGCCACCGTCAACGGCCAATTGAACGCGGTGAATGGGAACGGGAACGGGTATGGGCAGCGGCCGAGACATAGCCGCAAGGCGAGCACGGGCACGGTTACGGACGACGCGCGATCGGTGTCGTCGCTCGCGACGTCGAGCTCGCAGGTCCACGGGCATGGGACGAGGGCGAGGAGGGGAGGGAGTAAGGTGGGTTGTGTTATTCTTGTACATTCTTTTACTTGCTCTTTTGAGCTCGATCATAATTTCCACTTCCATTTTTTGACGCTGACGACTTGTTCCCAATAGCCCCGCCCCGCACTCCATTCGCGCTCACGGTCACGGAAGGGCGGGACGAGCCTAGCGGCGATGGCCCCGCTCACGAACCTCGCGGCTGCGACGGCGTTTGTCGAGCGCACGATGAGCACGCGCAAACTGCGGCGCGTCATGATTTCAACAAGCGACGATGATGAGTGGAGTGACGACGGGGACGGGGATGCGGAGGGGGAGGTGGAGAGTGTTGTCGATGGGGAGGGGGACGGCGAGTGGGAGAGCGTGGACGCGAGTGTGGAGGGAGGAGGTGCGGAGGTGCAGGGCCAGGGAGAGGAAGGGGGAGGGACCACGGAAGTGGAGGGAGAAGAGGACGACGGCGACGGCGAAGGGTGGGAGGACGAGAGTGAGAGTCCTGCGCAGAGTCGGCGGGGGAGCGTTGCGAACGCCAAAGCGCCTCCGCCGTCGCTGCAGCACGGCCACGCGCGCGGACACAGCACATCAGGTGCCGCCGCCACCACCAGCGCGGCGGACCTGCGTCAGCTACCCTCGCGCCCCCTACACCGTTCCGCGTCGCACCTTCCTGCGCTCGCCAACGGCACCAACCACGCTGCGGCCCCCCGGCCGACCCGCTTCCGCACGCACACGCACACGACGAGCGCCCAGAATGCGCGCACGGACCGCGCGCTGCAGGCGACGATGAGCGCGACGACACTGTCGGACGTCATGAACGAGGCGCAGTACCAGCGCGATCTGTTTGCCAAGGCGCCGCGCGTGAGCTACGAGAACCTCACGTCGCTTGCGGGGGCACGGCCGGGAGGGCTCTCGATGTTGTTGAGGCCGCCGGAGCAGCAACAGGAGCGGGAGGGCGGGGTGCCGAGGCGCACACGGCCAGTGGGCGGGTTTGGAGGCATTGGGTTACACATGACGCCGCGCCCGCCGTCGGCGGCCGTGGACGGGTCGGAGCTGAGCCCGATCCCCCCGACGCCGGCGACCGCGGCGGTGCAGCAGCAAGGGCAGTCGTCACAGCGACAACAGCAGCAACAGCCAAGGCAACCGCCTCCGCCCCCCGTGCAACCAGCGTCAGCAGCGCAACCGGAAGCGTCAGTGCAGGCCGCGCCGCCGCGCCGCCCGGGGCTGCCGCGCGCACTGTCGACGCCGCACTTTGGCGGGGCAGGGACGAGCGGGTCGTTGGGGAAGAGCAGCGTTGCGGGGCCGGTCGTGACGGGGAGCACGCACGCACAGCCGCAGATGAACGGGAGCGCGCACGGACAGGTGAATGGAAGTGCGGGCACGCGGGCGGGGGTACCGGCCCAAGGGCCCGCCGGCGGAGATGGAGTATGACGAGGAAGACGATGAATCGGACGCGGACGGGCGGGTAGGGATGGCGAAGGGCAAGGGGCGCGCGCGAGATGAGGGGCTGCAGCTGTCGAGGAGTGTCGCGCAGGAGAAGCTGCGGGTGCTCGCGGAGAAGAGCGCGATCCTGTCGCGCGCCAAGCACGGGGCGGAGGACGCAGTGGAGGCGGAGCGCAAGCGGCTGTACGACGAGGCGGGTTTCGCGCCATGGGCCAACGGAAACGCGAGCGCCAACGCCAATGGGCAATTCAGCGCCGGCGCCGCGCCCCTGCCTCAGCCACCGAATCGCTCGATGTCGTCCGCCCCGGTGGGCTTTCCGTACAACCTTCCTGCGCCCGCGCCACCCTCGACGCCGCGCACGACGCGCCAGCAGATGCTGCGCAATGAAATGTCGGAGAGTGTCCGGCATAACCTGCTCTGGCAGCGCAACCTGAGCCGCAGGGACATGGTGGGGCCTCCGCCGCGCCGGACGAAGAGTACGGTGAATGTTACGAGCGTGGAGGGCGAGGGGCGACAGGCGGAGCGCAGCCTCGTGCGCGTCACGCCGCGTGCACCTGGGACGGCCCCACCCGAGGGCGCGCTGCCGCCTATGGTTGACCCCCCTGTTGCACAGAAGAAGAAGCTCGTAAGGAATCTTAGCTGGGCGGACACATCGACGTATCACCATTCAGGGTGGTAGTCGAAATTCTTGTTATCTTCCTCCTTCTGTCTCTCTTCTAATGCATGCTACCTTCTACTGTACGAAATAGTAACATACTCATTATCTGTCTGTTGTCGTTCTGGGTTCATTTGTACTACTACCATTTGACTTGTTCGCGTACATATAATTGGTGCTTCTGTTTTGGGTGACTCAACACTGGATTCCTAATCAGGGTCCTTGTGGCCGTCCCAGTTAGAGGTCGAATTGTTTGGGAGCCCAGTGGCTCTCTACGCCCTAGAGACCGCCCCGACCTGCCGGTGAGATGGCCGAGCGGTCTAAGGCGCCAGACTAAGGATCCACTTGACTATAAAGTGTAACTTGTGCATGTTGTGTACAATCTGGTCCTCCGGGGCGTGGGTTCGAATCCCACTCTCATCAAGTTTTGTTAGATTTTTTCTTTCCTAGTGTTCTGTTTGGACCTCCAGGCAAAAGATTTATGCGCAGGTTCCTACCCAGCCGCTATGAGGTTCATATACAGTAGCAGGAGTTTGATCGGTATCTCAGAAATTTGAATTGATTGGCTGTTACATTTTGATGTGTGACCAGACAACATGATGTGATAAAATGACCAGATGAACCCACACCGGCAAAAGTGAATAGATTATGCTGCCTAATCGTCACCTGAAAACACTACTTTCAGCAACATGTTCAGCTGGCGGCATTTTTGCTATTGGCCCGGCATTTTCCGAGCCAATGGCAAAAATGCTGCTGGCTGAATTGATTGCTGAAAAGGATCCTTTCAGCTGACAATCAGCTGAGCTGAATATTCAATTTTGTCGGTGTGCTTCCACGGCAGCTCACTCCTGAGTTTCTGTCTTAAATGTAAGCACCCGATTGGGTAATTGGATGGCGGCACAGTTCAGCATATTCAAGCTCTGCCGCTTCTATACACAGGTCAATGAGATTAGTAGAATTTGAGTGACTGTAAATGCTGGTGTGGTGTTATATCTATGCAGCATTCCACCTTCTACTGACCTCCCTCTGGTACCTCTGGTACTTCCGATCATCTCCGGGCTCTGGTCACTTCAGGCTACCCATATAAGTACTCCTTAGGGTTACACATTTCATGGGAGTTAACGATCCCTAGGGGGTCCAGGTTTGAGTGGATGTCCCACCTTTCTGTGTATTCCCACCTCCACTATTGGGACATCTCTGCCAAAGGTGGGCCCGAAAAATTTTGTGGGATTTCCTCCAGCAGGTGGGATTATGTTATATGTCGAGTCAAGCCAAGGCCAAGGAAGTCCGACCTTGGAGTTCGCGGTTTCTCGCAACACTACAAAGAATAGAGTGAGCAACTATTCAGGTCCGCAGTTCCGCACAAGACTATAGTCCGGAGTCACGGAGTTCGGAGTCGGAGTTGAAGTCCGAATAGAGGACGAAGGCAGAGGCTCGACCAACGCCGAGATAGCGAAGAACAATTAATAATCAAACTGAAGTATAAAACATATCTAACTAGCTTTTAAACTAAGTACGCTATTGTCTATTGAATACAATAGCGTGCGAGATATTAGTAAGTAAGAAACGTTAAACAATAAGGTACCAAGGTGACTTAGTAAGGTTAAACAATAAAGGACTTCGGGCTTGGTAAGGATGCCCGAATAGAAGTCGGACTAGACAATAAGGCCTCGGAGAAATACAAGTCCGTCGGCCCGATGAGTAATCAGTGATTAGAAGGGAAACGCTCAGTAGACCTTCATAACGTGAAAACCCTCTCGGAAATTGCCGGACCGGGCCGGCCGGGCCAGCCGGTCTAACAATGCACGGATATAACAGATTACCCACCTAGGTCACATCACACTGGGTAGGACCCCATGCACCCTCTGCTACTAAAATCGCTTTTTTGTGCCTGTACGGGCTCCGTTTGGGCTGGTCCTTGGTGTCCTATGAAGCCCTGGCCCAGGGCATCCTAGCACTTTATGTCCTGTGTGTCAGTACAGTGAAGAAAAATTTACCTTTTTCCCCAAAAAAATCTGTTCACTGGCTCTACCCTGCTGCTTTTGATGACAGTGTACACCAGTTCCTGTGTCATTCAATCCAACCTATTTGCTGGGGCAATGTGCCCTGGCTATCACAATATGCAGCACAAATTATTCAATCTAGGCATTGAGACCATTATGACTAACTCAGCCATGTATGCGAGTTCATCATAGGCCTTTCGCTCTATATGTACAAGATGAGAGGAAAGATGTCTCTATCATCCTACTTTAATACCATGTCTGAAACAACACTGCTTGACTCAATTGTCAAATCTGAACCTGGAGCAGACCCTTACATTCCCTCAGCCTCCCCCCTTCCAATTACAATACATTGTTGGCCTGACTACAAGAATCTCCACATGATCCCCAGAGCTGGAAGAGATTGGCTGATCTGGTCAAGACCAGTGGCAACCTCCCACACATCCACCAAACTTACAATGCACTGCTGAAACAGTGACAACACTGCTCCCACTCAAATAGCTTGCATCAACCACTACCTTTCCTTCCTTCTACCATGAATCAGTAAAGATGGCATAGAAGTGGGTACATCGTCCATCTTTCACTCAATATGTACGAGATGATAGGAAACACTGTTATATGTTGAGCCAGGCCAAGGCTGAGGAAGTCTGACCCCGGAGTTTGCAGTTTCTCACAACACTACAAAGAATAGAGTGAGCAACTATTCAGGTCCACAGTTCTGCACAAGACTATAAGTCTGGAGTCACGGAGTTTGGAGTTCAGAGCTGAAGTCCGAATAGAGGATGAAGGCAGAGGTTCGACCAACACTGAGATAGCGGAGAAACAATCAATAATAAAACTGAACTACAAAACATAACTAACTAGCTTTTAAACTAAGTACACTATTGTCTCTTGAATACAATAAATAGCTTGCGAGATATTGGTAAGTAAGAAATGTAAAACAATAAGGTGCCAAGATGACTTAGTAAGGTTAAACAATAAAGCACCTTGGGCTTGGTAAGGAAGCCCAAATAAGAAGACGGACTGAACAATAAGGCCTCGGAGTAATATAAGTCCGTCGGCCAGATGAGTCAGCTGTGATTAGAAGGGAAACACTCATTAGACCTTCATAGCATGGAAACTCTCTCAGGAATTGCCAGACCAGGCCAGCTGGTCCAATAATGCACGGATATAACAGTATCCCCCTCTTAAGACTCTTACCCTCAAGAGTCTTCGGAGTTGGGCCAACATGATCCGCTTGGAAGTCACCGGTAGCTGAAATGGCTGATGCCCGAGAATAGCCGAGGTTGATGGCCAAACTCTGATAAGTCCAGTGTCATGTGTTGGAATTGATGCTATCTCAGGCATCTCAGGCAAGCCGCCAGTGCATTCCTGTGCTGGGCGGAACCTTGTAGAATTACGTGGAACTATTTAGTATTCTGTAGAATAGTGTGGAACATCCATATGACTCCTTCTGTGACTCACAAGGCTGTTCCCCAGTAGTATTTAAGCCACTGTAATTTGTACTATGAATCTAACTTATTTTGCTCCCAACTTACATCTGCGTGAAATCGGACGTCTCACCACGTCCAAACCCCATACTCAATTAATCTGTGCCAACATCGTGGGAGTGTCAAACAAAAGACATATAAGAAGGTTGATTCGGTTTTGAAGTCCATTGTCTAATTAATGTGTCCAGCTTGCCACCTAAGTGGCCGGGGCAAAAGCAAATTACCATATTCAAATGGCAAAGGTACTCGGACCAGTGCACTTGCTGACAAGTCAAGACCTTAGAAGTAGAGAAGTACTCCAAGTTATTGTGGTCAGTAACCATGTCGATAGTAAGTAGTGCACCTTCAAGATAGTGACACCAAGTTTTGAAGGCGTCAAAGATGGCCAGGAGCTCTTTGTCGTGAATGTCATAGTTCAACTCTGAAAGGCCATGGGGTGGATATCACCATCATCTCCGAAGATCGAGAATATGGCGGCTAAAGCGTAGTCTGAAGCGTCAGTCTCAACAATGATTTGTTGGCCCGGAACCCAATGGTGAAGGATTGGGGCTTCAGATAAGGTATTAGCTTATCTTACGATCTGGGAGGTTCGACTGCCACCAGATCTTTAAATTTTGCATGTCTTTCAGTTCTGCTAATGTAGTGTATTCCACCGTACCATGGGCCTGTGATGTGATGTTACAATAGACCTTGAATTCACTCTGAACATAAAGTTACTTCGAACTTAGAGTTACTCTGAACTTATAATGTCTGTCTGAGCTTCAGCTCCGAATTTCAGTTTAGTTCAGTTTATTTTTATACTTAAGACTTGAGTCTGCATGGAACTTAAATTCTAACTTCAATCAGGATCAAGTACGCACAGATCTCAAGTTTTATCCCAGGATCTCATTAGAGTTGGTACACTGGGTCCCTGAACAGGGAGAAGGAGTTTTCAAGGCCTTATATATGCATCCTGGCTACCATGCCACCTATGAAGCCACCTGCTTCAATACTCCATTGTTCATCCCCAAAATGGCAACACAATGGTGCTCCGGCACACAATAACCACTATTGTGTCCTAAAATGGAAGTTGACACACAATGCACAGTGGCACATGTGGCCCTGCTGGTCATATATAAGGCCCTTGAAAACTCCCATTCATTGCATAAAAACCCGATGATACTGGATGGTCTGGAGGCTCCAGCATATGACCAGAGCCTCGGAGCCTACCGGAAGTACCGGAAGGTCGACGAGAGGGCTGGGTATGCTGCATGGATATAACACAAGCCGTGTGAGAGGAATGGTAATGTCAGTGTAGCCGTTGATGAAACACCGATAGAAGTTGCAAAAGCTGAGGAAGGATTGAATGTCCTTAACCTTCCGAGGGACTGGCCAGCCAAGAATGGCATCAACCTTGTCCGAGGCCATCGAGAAACCATCTGGGGAGAGAACTGAGGTATTCACAAGTTGTAACTCCAAATTCACACTTCAGAAGTTTGCAGTAAAGTCTGGCTGCATGTAGGTATGCACATTGAAGTTGTCAGAGTAGATTAGAATATCGTCAAGATAGATGACCACACAGATGTTGAGCAAGTCTGAAAAGAGACTATTCACAAAACGTTGAAAGGCCACGGGAGCATTAGCCAACCCTTTGGGGGACAACTCACCACTCATAAGAGCTGTAGCGAGTCCGAAAGGCTGTCTTCGGCGATATGCAGGAGGTGGTAAGCATGTCAGAGATTGAGCTTGGTATAGATTTGGGCTTTGCCAAGTAAGTCCGAAATGAGTAGAAGAAGGTAGCAATCCTTCTTGGTAAAACATCTGTGCCACGTACAGTGGCAGCACGAAACTAGTGTAGAGTGCGTGATAGTTTCTGAGCAGAGGATCTTCCATGTCTATATATGAAAATGCATGTTTGAAGACAGGAGCGTGAGCTGTACAAGATCTAATGACC